AAGAGACAGAGAGAAAGACAGAGAGAGACAGAGAGAGGAGGAAGCGACAGTGTGTGACAGAGAGAGAGAGAGAGAGAGAGAAAGAGAATGAGAGGGCTAAAGAGAAAGAGAGGAGGGAGACAGTGTGTGACAGTGAGAGAGAGAGAGAAAGAGAGAGAGAATGAGAGAGAATGAGAGCGAGAGAGGGGGGGAGAAAAAAGAGACACAGAGTGAAAGAGACAGAGAGAAAGACAGAGAGAGACAGAGAGAGGAGGAAGCGACAGTGTGTGACAGAGAGAGAGAGAGAGAGAGAGAAAGAGAATGAGAGGGCTAAAGAGAAAGAGAGGAGGGAGACAGTGTGTGACAGTGAGAGAGAGAGAGAAAGAGAGAGGGCTAGAGAGACAGAGAGAGAAAGAGAGGGAGAGAAAGAGAGGGAGGGAGAAAAAAGAGACAGAAAGAGAATGAATGTGAGAAAGAGAGAAAGAAAGAAAGAGAAAGAGAGAGGGAGGAAAAAGAGACACACAGAGAAAGACAGAGAGACAGAGAGAGGAGGAAGAGACAGTGTGTGACAGTGAGAGAGAGGAAGAGAATGAAAGGGCTAAAGAGAAAGAGATAGGGGTAAGACAGAAAGAGGAGAGAGTGACAGTGAGGGAAAGAGAGAGAGAGAAAGAGAATGAGAGGGCTAAAGAGAAAGAGAGAGGAGGGAGACAGAAAGAGGAGAGAGTGACAGTGAGAGAGAGAAAAAATGAGAGGGCTAGAGAGACAGAGAGAGAGAGAGAAAGAGGGAGAGAAAGAGAAGGAAGGAGAAAAAAGAGACAGAAAGAGAATGAATGTGAGAGAGAAAGAAAGAGAGAGAGAGAGAGGGAGGAAAAAGAGACACAGAGAGAAAGACAGAGAGACAAAGAGAGGAGGAAGAGACAGTGTGTGACAGTGAGAGAGAGAGAGAGAATGAAAGGGCTAAAGAGAAAGAGATAGGGGTAAGACAGAAAGAGGAGAGAGAGTGACAGAGAGGGAAAGAGAGAGAGGGAGGAACAGACAGAAAGAGGAGAGAGTGACAGTGAGAGATAGAGAGAATGAGAGGGCTAGAGAGACAGAGAGAGAAAGAGAGGGAGAGAGAGAGGGAAGGAAAAAAAGAGACAGAAAGAGAATGAATGTGAAAAAGAGAGAAAGAAATAGAAAGAGAGAGGGAGAAAAAAGAGACACAGAGAGAAAGACAGAGAGACAGAGAGAGGAGGAAGAGACAATGCATGACAGCGAGAGAGAGAAAGAGAGAGAGGGAGGAACAGACAGAAAGAGGAGAGAGTGACAGTGAGAGAGAGAGAGAGAGGGCTAGAGAGAAAGAGAGAGAAAGAGAGAGAGAAAGAGAATGAGAGGGCTAGAGAGAAATAAAGAGAGAGAAATAGAGAGGGGGAAGAGAGAGAGAGAGCCAATCTAAGCCAATCAAAATAAAATTTAAAAAAGGTCAGATGTAGAAGAGACTAATATTTATTCGGGAGTTGGGGCAGGGATGATGGGTGTTGTGGTCTGGCCCCTCCTGGAAGGCGCTGGGGGCGTGGAATAATAAGCAAAACAAAATTCCACATACCGAGACCTGAATGTATTTAGCAATGATCTTTATTTGAAAAGTTTCAAAATGCCTTATCTTCATAGAAGAGGCTGCACCCAAAATTTATAAAAAGACCAAATAACACTACAGTAGTAGAA